AACGATCTTTTGATATTCGTTGGCTTATATCATATGGCTTAAACGGGTCCATGATATAACACTGTCTGGTGTTGAAATTTATAAAGACTACAATCCAGTGAGTAGCACTAATATTCCATGGAAGTATAACCATACTGTTCTGCTTGAAAGTAATTTTGTCATGCACTTCCCCGACTACTCGTTTTCCAAACAGCATACTCACAGTATAGCATGATAAAATGTGTGTGTTTTCTAAGCTCAGATTTTTAGCGTATGACAGCAAACAAATATCTATAACAAAGCTAGACACCCAGTTTGTTCCAGAAAGTGTATCAAATTCTGGCAAATCAAGGTCGGTCTTGACGTTAGAATTGTCAACATTAGATAATAAGTTACGATATTTTACAACTATATAATCTTTATTTTTTGGCATCTTAATTGGTTTATAGTACGCCAAATCTTTAGGGAGCATATTTTGGTGTAAATCCATAGCTAGCGCTGATAGTCGAAACGGAGATTTATGACTGCCTGGTGTCGAAACTGATTTTGTTAAACAATCGTCCAATGGCTTACTCAAATCATGTACAACCATGTCGTTGTTCATAGGCTCATCAACAGTGAACCCAGTCTCATTGTCACATTCTATAACCACAATGTTATTTTTATCTGCTGTAGTGGTCGAAGACTTTGGGATTTTTAAAGACAGTGCTTTGAAAGGACGGTACTTGATGGGTTGGAGGTGTTTGTGTTGTTTTTCTCTTTTTCCCCAACTCTCTGTTTCGTCTAAATGGTTAAGGCTAGACAATTCTGAAATTTTTCTTTTTCCATTTTCTTTAGTAGTACTCTGTTTAGACTTAGTGTCAAAATCAAGCGCACGAGTGCACTTTCCTTTTCTAATATTGTACTTCATTTGTTTGTGTACATTCGTCACGCGCTGTCTCATAAGTTTTAAAAACCGGCCGCATTTAAACCTACGGTCGCCTTCTAGTATGTCTTGTTTGACTGTTTTAAACCAAGATTCGACGGTAGCATTACTCTGGCGGATTTCAATGCCATTGGCCATTGCTGAGTTCATTATTCATAATAGGTGTCCACAGTGCTAAGAAAGGTACACACTTAACTATAAACTCGTGTAAATATGATTCATCATAATATTCATTAATGCTTAAATTTTCAATATTTTCAGCACAATTTGAGACTTCAGATTTAACCTGTTCTTTGATTGACTGAAATCTACACAACATCATGGAATTACTCGTGTTGGATTCGCATAGAAATTTATTTATTTCCTCCGAGTGATCCTCACCTTCGTTGTTTGATTCATTTGGCAATTGGTATATTTTATCATAACACTTGGCTCTCATTGTACTAATGGCATTTTTCGTGTGTCCTGTACCATAAGGTGACAACAGTATTACTGAAAATATTTTGAACCATTGTTCAACATCTGTCAAACTGGTTGTGTTAAAAAGTATACATATTAGTCTTTATACAAATTTTTTATTACATTTTATTATATTATCAATTATTATTATTTTTTTTTGATAATACATATTTTGAATTCTTTAGTACATATTTTTGTTGTATAAATACCTACTTTGATTATAGAAATACATATAAACCCGAGCCCTAGTAAATTACCATTATACGTAATATGTTATGTGATAAATTTTGATTCATAATTGTATAATCTTATGTATTAAATCTAAAATGTGAAAAGGATACAACAGTATTGTGTTTAATAACAGATTCAACGATGATTTCTTGTCATAGATCATAATGCTTTAACAGTAAATGTAGATGGCTGGAATGGATAAATGATTTATTCTTGTCATCAAATTAATTTTGTAACATATGCATTGAAATCCGCTATTCATGCTGAAACTTAATTAAAAAATATACATTTCTATTAGCTATAAAGGAATGTTTTTATCGTTATTAATCATATTTTACAGTAACCAATAATAATTTAAAAAGTAACCGTTATTAGTAATTATTCAATGAAATATTAATGGACAATGATGTTTGTGTAGTATGCAAAAACCATATTGTTAATAAACTTACTGATACATACATAATTGTATAACTATAAGGATAATGGTTTATAAAAAAAACAACATTTAAACACTTTACAATACTACAACAAACTAACCTAACACTATTCAGGATATGTGTTGTTTTTTGAGGAAAAACAATATTTTCAGTGGTTAGGCCTCTTAAGGGCGCCTAATTTTTTTTTCTGCACCGGGGTGCAAAATATCTAAATGCGTCACTGAACATAGTTGAATAGTTCTTAAGCATTACATTTTTATATTTATATTACAAATACATGTATTAATATTCATTATAAATTAGACAATAAATTAGGTAATATTTTACAATATGGTTCTATAAAATGTGATGTAAACATACCACAGAAAAATCATAATATAGTATAATTACTAATGCCTCAGGTGACTACTCATCACTATGTGGAGAGGGAAACAGAATAACATGACATAGGTTTTACATACTTAAATAATGAATAAAAGACTTACATTTCTACAACTATTCAGTACAGTAGACAGTAGTTTCCGTAAAAAGTGGTGATTTAAATAAATGAATAACGTGTGTTAGATTGTATAGTCTTTAGAGGAATTTTGATTTTATAACCTAACTTTCCATTATTGTTGATTTTTTATTGATGACAATATTATTATGTCAGTATGTTCGGTATAATTATCGTGGTAATGACGCCAATAGAATTTATTTATATATACTTTTAAAACAATTTACAACAATTACTGTGTAACATAGGGCGACATCTACTTGACGGTTTCGGTGCAATAGTACGACACCCCTGAACTTATATGAAATGCAACACAACGTACAAGGTTTCTTATCACTAGTCGTCCGAGTAAATAGTCCCCTAGCTATGGTCCCCCAACTTCACACACGTAATTAAATTGGTACCCATTTTTTTGCCCGATTCAAAAAATATAGATTTTATGCAAAAATCAGCAGAATTTTCGTACAAGTGGAATTTAAAAAATCGCATTTTGACAATTGATGGGAAGCATGTCCGTATACGAAGTCCCAGTAAATCTGGGTCTTTATTTCATAATTATAAAGATTTTTATTCGATTGTAGGTACTTCTGGCGATGGTGGACGCGAATTATAAATTTATTGTTGTTGACATTGGTTCATTCGGAAAAGAAGACGATAATGGTTTTTTTTGAAGTCAAATATGGGACAGAAAATTTTAAATGGGACATTTGGATTTCCAGAACAATGTCATCTTTCGGGATCAGGTAAGGTAGCACCCCATGTGCATAGGTGATGAGGCTTTTCGCTTACATAAACATATTTTGAAACCATAGACGAGAAAATCCTTCAGAAGCTGTGTTTAATTACAGACTAAGTCGTGCTCGAAGAGTTACCGAAAATGTTTTCGGATTGCTAAGCCAAATTTTCGGAATTTTTTTCAGCCAATTAACTTAGAAACGACTACAATCGACGATCTAATTTGGTTAACCTACTGTCCACACAATATGTTACGTGATGGGTACTTGGAAAAAAATAAACGACCACCAACTAACAATTTGATGCCACTTTCTCGACAAGGAGAGTTTTCAAATATTGAAGGATTTGAAGTTAGAAATTTGTTTAAAGAATTTTTTAATAATGAAGGGGCTGTTGCCTGTTTCTTGGCAAACAAACTCTTAATTTTATATTTTATGAAATATATTTAATTTAATTAATTAAAAAGTTGTTGTATCAGTTAAATAACACATTGCAGGATTGTTTTGTAATATTAGTATGTATAATTAATAAAGATATTTAAGTTTATATATTATTTACATTATTAACATTTTTATTTACATTATTAAGTGAAATTTTATGTCAACATTTAACATTAAAAATATTAAATTATTATCTACAAAATAATTTTTACAAATGACAATAAAATAAGAACTAACTTTTTTTATATACTTTTTAATACTTTTAATAAAGACATATTAATTACTATTGCAATAACATGATAAAAATCAACATTTTAATAAAAAAATAACAAGTTACTCCACAAGTAAATTTAAAGTTGAAAAAACAAAAATAAATTCAGGTATTACTTATACCTTAACATAATAAAAATCAACCTTTTAATACAAATTACAAAATACTCAACAAGTTAATGTAAAATTGAAAACAAAACAAAATCAAATATATTACTTAGACGATTGTAATGCAAGTGAGTCATCATAATAAAACATGGAAAACTGTGAACCTGATTATGTAGAATACATACTACCTGATGGGGAAGGCTGGTGTTTAAATGCCATTCTTTTGACAAAATCGAATCTTGATATTTCATTATTATTAAATTGTTTTATATTGTCTTCGATGTATGTAATTTTCTTGCACGTACTGTAATGGAAATAATAACAAGTGTAATTTTCTTTGAATTGAGTTATTACCTCATTAACTTTTTTTGTTTTATTATTCGTATTGTGTTAGGTATTTTAACAATATTTTCTTTTTACGTTATTTAATTGCATAAAGCAATGTACAATCAAAAATACATATAACAAGGATTGATTTTACAATATGAAAAATGGTCTGAATGGACTCACGGATGTTGTCGAGTAGGTACTGGTAGTTGGTTCTTGTGTCCCTTGGCTGGTTGCTGAGTGAAGTAACTATGATGATGAGGATGATGATGCTCGCGTAATTCGAACGACGATTAAATATTAATCTATGAACGACGTGAACTTAACGTGTGTAACGTAACGGCAGAGTAGGTAGAATTGTTGATTACGATATTATCAACAATTCTACTGCGCGTTCGCGCGTGCGAAAGTTACTAATCTTCAATGCAACACGGCGACTCGATCGACGGTATTAATATTTACTAATTGTCACTGTAACACTGCTGCTCGATCGGGGTGTCAATACTTATAAATTGGCACTGTAAAAACGGCGGCGGCGGAAAACTACGTTCGGCGGCGGCGAAAATCGAAACGACGATACTTGCCCGCACTGTATGTGTTCCCGTTTGGACGGTGAACACCAGATACGGCAAGTAAAAAGCGGCGGCGGAAACTGCGTTCGGCGGCGGCGAGATGAAACGGCAATACTGTCCGTACTGTTTGTGCTCCCGTTTGGACGGCGAACACCAGACACGACTAAGCTGTTGGACTGGAACGATGATTTGGCTGGCTCGCCGGGGTCTATTTACCACATACCCCGGCTGCTTCGGCTTTTGAGAATTATGACTTCGGTGTGTTATGTTTTAATAGTATTTGGTGGTACATTTTCGGAGGACGGTCTCATGACGTGGTCGAGTGAACCCTCAGATGCCTTTTTACTTGGCGTGATTAATTTAGTTTATAAGTTGCGGCCTTTGGTACTTTAATGTCGCTGGTACGCACCGTGCAAAGAAGCAGACATCTAGTGCGATTTTATGCAATCAATCTCGAGAACATCGCGCGTAGTAATTATGGAGTTGGCAGCGAGTGGCGCGTCGTCCGCGAATTTTGTTAAGCTATTTGCAGAAATATGACATAGGTCATTTCGTCTCGTTACAGTACTTTGTTTTGGTTATTTTGTTGTTTGTGTGGCCCTTCGGATTGCTATTTTAGTATCAATTTGAATTTTTTTTAATATTTCCATAAATGTGTGTATGTCTGGGTGATGTGTATAAAATAACGAGTTGTACTTCGAATGAAAGTTTTCACAAGTATTTGTTGTTCTTTCAGAACTACTATTCATTTCGGCCCACATGGCTATAGGAAATTTTGCTCCAGAATCTATATAATTGTCCATAATATAATCCATAAATTCGTTAAGTTTTTGATGTTTTGGCATTATAGATATAAAATCTTCAATAATACAGTTTTCTACATCTTCTTGATTTAATAATGGTAAACCAAATATATTTTTCAAAAATAAACCCATTTCTGTTTGGTCTCGATAATCTTTACTCAACCCCAAATTTTGAATGTGACGCCACCATGCTTGACCCTAATGGAAACGACATCCTTTAATAATTATAGTTGGCCAAACTTTTAATGCACCAAGATGAATAGATAATTCAAAATCCGCAAATATATATTCGGGAGAACAACATAAATTTAATTTAAAACATTCAGTTTTTAATATATTAAAGCATTTTGAATATGATTCGCATTCTTTATTATTAAGTAAAAAATACACTAAAGGTATGTAATGACCATTACTTAAGCCGTGTATTGTAAATAATTGTAAAAAAAAAATTAGTACAATACTTAAAAGTACCATCTACATATATAGTCTTAACAGTACTTAAAGTATTTAAATTTTTTTCACATGAAAACATAACTATATTTATATTACTGTCATTTACCATGAGAAATTGTTCATCGTCATAAGTTTTGATTTCTAACGAATCAACTTCATGTACATTTTGAATATTACATGGTCTTGCTGGTAGTTTTGATCGTCTTGCCAA